AAGAAGCAAATTTAGCAGGTGTCTAAATTTGGGCAATGAGTGTAGACATGAATTATAGATTAATGTGTCCCACGGACTTTCTGTGTCCTATTAGAAATTTTGGTGCCTTATGCCATCAGAAGTATAAAAAGGGGTCCTAGTTAGTTTATGGGGACACTAGAAAATTCTGTCTGGGGATCTTCTGTCTTCCTTCATTCCACATCTAGTTGATTTGGAGCCTACAGATGCAATAGGAGTTTTGATTAAGTTTTGACCACATTGCTTTCTAAAACCTGGCCTTGTCACTTGTAAAAGGGGAGGGATTCTGAGGTTAATGACAGCTTGGCCTTTAAGCGTTAAGTACATACCTCCAAAAACACCTCCTTTCCAGGTGCGTCCAGTCAATAGCATTAAAGGGTTCATCGAGAGGGTGTTAGTACCAGGAGGTATCCCTACAATGACGCTTGTGCCACAGGCCACATGACAACATAAAAGGGCAGCCATCTGGAATAAAATCAACACTTAGCATCCTTTACGTAAACTCTCTGATAGTCTCTACTGATAATGCACAGCATGATGTCATATTGATATAGCTAGATTGTGAGTGTGGGGAGGGAAGGAATTATGTCTTCTTGTTCTTCATTCCTTTTTGTGCCTAGATTAGTGCTGTGGATTTAGGAAATGCCCAGAAAATGTTTTTTGAATGAAAGAATGGATGAAAGCATTTGTGTATAGTTAACACTTTCGTATAAAGTAATAAGAAGGCAAAGATCATTACAAACGTATGGAAATTCTGGTTCCTTAAGTAAGGGTACTCTTTCATCATTACATGATTCTCAGGCCATCTTTGAGCTGGTTAATTCATTTTTCATTGATTTATTAAATAGATGATTTGAACCTGGGACATTGAAGCAGATGGTTTGATGGTGAACAAGGTATGATTAAATCATCAAAATTTGTCTCTTTTCCACTTGATGGTTTGCCTTTTTGATGGATTTCTGTTCTACGTCCATTTCTAAAATGGGCATGTTTTAAACATTGTTTTTTACCTCCCTCAAATGCATATTGTTTTCATTTTAAACTACACTTATTATTCTGGATCCTGAAAAGACAGTCCAGAAAGTCTTCCCCCTCTAGTCATCCTTTTGAACACGTTCTGTAGTAAGATAACCTTACAGGATCCCCCAAGGCAAATAATGATTAGTCCTTTGATTTTGGATTATGACACTTAGAAGACCAGACATCCTCAGAACATGTGGCTATCCAGCATTTGGTATCTTGATATAAGGTAACAATTCAGTTCCGCACGAGAAAATGGGGGAAAATAATAGAAAAAGAGCATAAGGAGGAAAACTACAGCCTTGGAGAAAACTGGATTCTCGTGAAACTTCATGCTTGTACAGCATATTGTCCCAGGTCAAGGCTGCAAAGGGTTTTACTTTCACGGTGCTGCTCCCCTTCACACTGCTAGGACTTCCTGGAGAACCTCAACAAAGGGGGTTTGTTGGTCTCTGTGGACTTATTCAGTAGGATTCTAGAGAATTCGGTGTCGGTAAAATACAGCTGGAGATGTGTTTTCCATTTCAGCTGATGATATTTGTACTTATTTGAAAGTAATAAGATGTACATTTCAAAGATGACATAAGCACCACAAGATTCGAAATAGTATCAATATCAATAATAATGCTGGCTGACATTTATTGAGAGCTTACTGTATGACAGGTGGCTGTGTGCTAAGTATCTTCCACGCATTATTTCATGTAATCCATAAAGAGTGCAATGAGATAAGTATGTATCTCTCTTATTTGGGGGCTGGTAAATTGTTGACTTTTTAAAGTATTCAGTCCAACATATCGATCTTGGATACAAGATATGTGCAGGCACTGTGCTCTCCCTGTGGCAAAATATAGGGTGCATTAAAGCAGTGACTTTCCTTATGGCACATTTTCAGTTAATGAAATAATTCCTGACCTAAAATTGCTCATTCCTTTTAGGAAAATTATGATATGTAAAAACATTAGAATCCATTAAAGCATGTTAAGAATTGTTAAGCCATTTTTGTTAAGAATGTGGAGAAAAAATAACACCAATTTGAGAACAGAATTTATATTAGCTATATTTACTTGAGTTTGAACTTTTCTACTAAAAATTAATAAAATAAATCTGTAATGGTTCCATTAAAAAACAAACCCTTTTCTTTTCTAAAATGGAAATATTACTTGAGGCAGGCTTGCTTAGCTGATAGAAGGAAAGATTTCTCAAGAATAAATTAAACAAGCCAGGTAACAAACAGGAGATGGAAAATTACCATTCATCATTTAAAAAATATTCCTTATACACAATATTTATATTCCGCTAATTAAAAGCATACTCCAGATTGCAGAAGCAGAAATTCCACACGTCATTGTACGTACCAGCGTTTCAAGCCGACCAATGACCTCAAAGGAAAAATCGACACCTCCATCGGTCATTTCCATGATCACCTCATGAATGGGTTTCCCGTAGTCTTGAGGGTTGATGCATTCAGTGGCGCCCAACTCTTTGGCCTTTGCAAATTTACCCTTGTTGATGTCTACAGCGATGATCCTGGCCGCTCCAGCTGCTTTACAGCCCATGACGACAGACAGGCCAACACCTCCGAGGCCAAACACAGCACAGGTAGAGCCCTGGGTGACCTGTGTATTCAGAAAATGCAAAAATGGACTAAGTAATGGTTTCTGGAATGTGCCTAGGCTTCATAAAGTGTCAGGCCTTGTCTGTTACAAAGAGCCACTCAGAATCTCGTGTCCAATCTGTTGTCAAAAGCTCTTTTGGCTTTAGTTGTTTCATGTTTGCATTGAGGGGGTCGAAATAGGTCAGTGGTTCTCAAGCTTTGCTGCATATTAGACTGATCTGGTGAGCTTTAAAAAAATCCCAATGCCCAGGTCACAGCCCACACCAATTAAATCAGAATCTCTACAGATGCGACCCAGTCCTCAGGTGATTCCATCAGGATACCCAGGCTGGGAACCCGGGATGGGATGATCTTTGAGTTCTAAATATCGGTGACTGCAATCTTGAAGGGAATGTAAATGGCTGAAAGCTACTGATAGCCAGCTTTAGTATCTCAGACATACACAAAGGCAGTTTGTGGAAAATGGCGTTAGTAGAAAAGGCTACTTAAGGAGATCGAAAAATTATTCAGTCAAATCCTCAATGATTAACTGTTGGGTTCATTAAGTTTCAGTAGTCATGACCAATAAATCCTGCTTTAAAAAATACACTAAGGAACAATAATGCAACAAAAAGTTGGTCTATATTTTAACAATGACGAAAATCTTTTATTATGACTATTCTCAGCTTCTGGTCCATGGAAGGCCCACTTAGACCACCCGTAGAACAGATGAGACAATTGCTCAAA